CATGGGTTACTTGGTTATGGCGGAACCGATGACTTCCGACGAATCCGCGACGGTTTCACAGTGACTCATCGACGCCATTCTTGCCGGGGATTCAAAGCTCGCTTTTGATCTTCTCTCTGATCCTTTCGTCGACGTCGATTTCGTCGCCGGAGATAGTGCTGGGTTGGGTTGTTATGACTTGTGAATTAATTTAATTTAATTTGTATAAAAAAAAGGAGAAAAGAAAAAACTGGTTTGTCTGGGACAATGTGCTTACTGACGGGGAGTCCCACACCATTTCCACCCAGTATTGCTGACCCTACTTTGTTTAGTCTTCTTGCCATTTGATCTTGATTTTGATTTATCTCTCACCGCCGACTCGACTTGGGGATTCTTTATTAGCCAAGGGTCGGAGCTTGATTTATTTTCCATTGTTGAGGGAGGATTGAAGTTAAGCTAGCAGATTTGATATGGAGGAGCGAGGAAGAGGGCTGCAAAAATGGAGGTAAAGAGAGATGAATGGAGAACAAGTAATCAAAGGAGAGAGGAAAAGAGTTGTAAGCCCCTAAAAATATTAAGTTCAGGTATTAAAATATTATTGTCAAATATTAGAATATTAATGACATATATTAGAATATTATTGTCATATATTAGAATATTAGAATATTATTGTCATATATTAGATAGATTATTAGATTATTATCGTCATATATTAGAATACTATATGGAAGCCCATTCGATGCACGGTTTTTTCATCTAAGATTTTTAATTATTTGATTTATTGTATTTAATAATTTCAGACAAAATTACAAAAGTTTAATATTTTTTTTTTTACTATAATTTATAATGAATTTATTAAATATAAATAAATTGTAAAAATGATATTTTTTCCGTTATATAAAATCTTTAATGTGAACTGCTAAACGTCGCCCCCAATTTATCAGGGATCGCTCCCATTTTGACATGAAAGGACCATTTTGCCCTTTTCATAATTTGGACTATATAAGGCTCCAACACTTGGTTAAAAAGATTCCCGAGCATTTTAATATTATTCTCAAGTACATTCGATCCACCACTTGCTTAAAAAAATTCCAGAGCCCACCACATCCAACCCAAAATTCCCGAGCCCACCACCAAAAATCCGATTTTTTTTAAAAAAAAAAATTATTAAACTTTAGCGACGGGTTTAGGACGATGGATGACGACAACAATCGTACACCGAAGGCATCGTCGGATTCTGTTAGTCGTCGAATTTTTTATTTTTATTATTTGAAAAGAGGACTTTCGCCTAAAATATCTGGATCCCTCATTGTGGATCCGCCTAAAATTTCCGGATCCACCATGGAAGATGTGGAGGCTAGGGTGACTGATATGTTCAAAAACAAGAGGATCGGTGTGAGTTTTAAAAATGGCAAATGAAAATGTATCATGGATGCTGCAACCGAGGCGGATTATAATGCTGCTGTAGATACAATGAAAGCTCGGTGGGCAAGTTATCCAGCAGTGATTACTTACGTTGAGAGAACATGGCTTTGTCATAAAATCAAAATTTTGACATTTTGGACGAACCAAGTTCTTCACTTTGGTAACACGAGTAATTGTAGAGTCGAGAGCCAACATTCGACGATGAAGATGTGGTTTGAATCATTGATAGGTTCGTTGTTATAATGTTGTAGTTGTTTTCTTTACTTCGTTTTAGTCATTTTATTTAAAAATCATAACGTTTTTTTATAATCTGAATCAACGGCAGGTTCTTGGATACCGTATGGGCCCGAGTAGATTGTCATATTGGTAATCAGATCATTGCAATTCGTAATGGTTTGGAGGCATCAAGATCGAAAATTGGTGAGAAGTACAGACAATTGCCACTGTCACGTATAAATGGCAAAGTGTCTCAGCATTGTTTGAAAGTTCTCGATGATGAGACGAGAAGGATGAGGGAGTTGAGTTACCATGTGTATGAGCGTTGTGGACGATTTGTTAGTAGTTAAGCGAGTCAACCTACTACCAGCTCAGCAGAGACATGGTTAGTGCAGCAGCCGATGCTAGGTGGTCCTGAGGATGGGACTGTTATCCCTAGTTTTGGTGGCCACGTGGCGTCATATATATGGGGCGGGACGGAGCGAAATGTTTTGTGTTGTTTGAGTAGGACACAGTTGTGTTCTGAATTGGTTAATTGGCAAGGTCGTCTTGCACAAGAGCACCTCGAATTGATTGATGGCAGTGGTCTGTCTCACTTACCCGGAATTATGTTTAAGCATCTTGATTGGTCGTTAATTTCTGCTTTTGTTGAGAGATGGCAGCCAGATACGAACACATTTCATATGCCATTTGGGGAGATCACGATCATGCTGCACGATGTGTACCATATTCTTGGGCTTCGTGTTGATGGTTCCATGGTTTCCACTACTCCTAGCATGGACGCCATATGGGATGCGTGCTCGGTTACCATGGATATGAATGCGGAAGAGTTGAATGAGAAGTGTGGTACTAAAAGCATTTGGTAAGATAGTGGGGTGTTGACTTAGAGGATTTTTGGTACGACTTTGGAGGTGTAAAGGCCCTTTAGTGTCCATTATACTACATACATGTGGTTAGTACTAGGAGGATCACTGTTTTTAGACAAGAGTGGTAACCGCACTCATCCTTCCTTCCTCCACGAGCTTGTTGTTGATGGTGTTCTGATTAATGAGTACTCTTGGGGTTCAACTACTCTAGCTTACCTGTATCGGTAGTTGGGTACAGCATCACGAAAAGATGTTGATTCAATTTTTACGAGTACTTTCCGTGCTTTCGGCCTTAGCAGAGTACCTTGACGAGGGAGCTTAATATCCCTCGTGCGTCTCCTTGGGATGTTGGATCGGGGTGCCCTAACAAGAGCATGGAGCGCCTCTTAGCTTTTCATGCTAGACTGGATGAACTGACTGACCGTGAGGTTAACTGGCTCTCGTACGGAGTTGATCCTGCACGACACGTGCCACCCACTTTATTTACTGGCTGCATCCAGTACCGTAGCATCATTGAGCCGTACATGCCTGATCGAGTGGTTCGACAACTTGGATTCATGCAGGACATTCCAAGGAGCATTATTTGAGAAGGCCAAGAGACCGACCAACTTGAAGATGTATCGGGTAGAATTTCCGACCGAGATGACATTTGTGATGTGGACTAGGTTTGTCCCTAGTTCGTCTTTCAATGTAGTTTTAGGTACCCACACCAGACTTGGTCGTCGAGCTCCTACGGTCGCTCCTGGTTACATGCAGTGGCTTTATAGATTTTCTCACCCTCGTGTATCTCCTGGGGGTTCATCAGCTGGGAGTAGCAGTCTACCTGAGAGGACTAACACGGATTATGTAAGTAGTTGTGTTTTATTATACTATTAATTCGACTTCCAGTAATAGTAATTTCTATAATATGTTGTTTTCTTATTTGTAGTGGATGAGTCGGTCCATGGAGATTCACAAAAGAGCGACGGATGAGTATCCCAACATGTCGCGTGAAACAAGGGCAATGACTGAGCAGCTGATAGTTGACTGGAAGGCGGTGATGGGGTTGTAGATTACTCTTTATTTGTATTAGTGGTTGCATTTTTGTTACTTGTCTTCATTATTTTATATTACTTTCTATTCGACATGTAATATAAGAACTGAACACTTTCATATTTGGTTTTGTTGGAACTTAGTTTAATTACTATTCAACCTTAATGAAAGTACATAAATGAGTTCACTATCTAATTAATGCATCTCACATGTTCCTTCTAACTTCATACTGCTGATCCCATCCATCAACACTTAGCTCGTGGTGCTCGGTCCACCAACCTGAAATCGGGGGAAGGGGTGAATCTTGTGCAAGATCAAGACGGATGAAATGTGACCCACCAACTGTAGCGATCACGAACTCTCGAGCGGGTGCCCTGATCATGTTTCGTGCCCGCAACAGTAACACCGTGATGCATGCATGGGTAGTAGCAGGTTGGTACGGTGCCTACACCGAGAAGAATCACCCTTGCGTTGAACCAAGTAGCAATAGGAAAAAAAGTCTTGAATTGCTACCATCCAATGTCGTGAATCAACCGCACCACCATCCCATAGAATACGTTCTACATTCATCCAAACCCTTCCAATCCCGTAAATCCTTTCGTACAACATTCGATGAGCGGCGACCTCGTTTGCTATTGTTTCCCGAGCGGTAAACCATTGCGCTTAATCACCAAAGAAGAAGTCATCCACACAACGAAAGCCACAATTTCCATCACCAGTGACATCCTTCCATGCCGTGATGTAAGGCAACATCGGTCTTGGAAGCAAGTGCAAATACCTGCATTGACTGATCTCACAATGATCTTTTGCACAAAATTAATGGTCATTTATTAGTACGCTACAAGATGGAATACGTGTAATTCACAATAGGCGTGTAATTCACAAGTGCAAATACTTGTAATTTCATGACTTACCTGAGGTCGTACCTGTTTGTTGTGTACCACGTTGAGTGTTCCAACAGTTTACATGTTCGAAACAACAAGGATCACGCCTGATATCATTGGTCCTTCGTCGACCTCGAACATTGTGGTTTACATGTGGTTTTTCAAGGTTTGTATGATCCGGATGCAGCTCCTCTTCAATGATGCGAGATACATTTTGAAGTATAGTAGGATCACTACCATTGACCTCATCAACTAGGGAACGAAAATGTGCAGCTTCCTCGGTTAAATCGTTAACGAACACAAGTATATTAACACCATCACCAATAACCAAGGTCTTCCAGAATGCTCATACTCCTAGTAACTCAAAATTTCATCCTTCTCGTCTCATTTATCTGGCAAGCACATGGTAAACCATAGGTTACACGCATTACACATCCACAATGCTCATACTCCTGGTAACTCAAAATTTCATCCTTCTCGTCTCATCATCGAGAATTTTCAAACAATGTTGAGACACTTTGCCATTTATACGTATATGCAACTTTCAAATTTTTTATACCTCACAAATAATACCCTAAAGTTGTACATAATATGTAATAGTGAAAGTTGTACACAATATGTAATAGAGGTAGTATGAGACTAAGAGAGCACCATAATTTCTTTTTTCTTCGCTTTTTAATGTTTTAACTCTAATTTTTTTTTACTGTATCTAATTGTGAAATTTGTTTCTTCAAGTAGGAGAGAGGGAGAAAAAAAAAAGTGTTGGAGGAGGAGGGGAGGAGTGAGTGAGTGAGTGAGAAAGAGTGAATTAGCAAAACCAGTCTCGTGAAGCAGAAAAATGGAGATAGAAAAAAAAAAAAAAAAAAAAGAAGAGAAAATTTAACGGAAATAAATGCTTAAACCCAACCTCCCCTGCTTCTCTTTCTCTTCTCTTCTCTTCTTCCTCCTTTCTCTCTCCTCTTTCTCTCTCTTCTGTAAAAATAAACCTCTAAAATAAAATTAAAAATTAAAAACCCCAACACCCTTTCCCTTCCTAAGTTTAATAACACTCACATTCTTTGCTTTCCCCTTTTCTTTCACAAGATCCCCATCTTTCTCTCTCTTCTTACTTTCTCTCTCTTCTTACTTTCTCTCTCTACAATTTTACATGTCTTCTTCCTCCTCCGCCTCCTCCTCTTCTAACCCATTTCTCACATTCACATTGTTCTAGATTATACCCAGATTTTTGTTTTGTTTTTTTTTTTTTTTTGGGAATTTAATTTTGATTTTCTGGGATTTTGAAGGGGTTAAAAATGGCGAATACAGGGAAACCCATATCAGAGTTAGGGATAGATACTCTTTCAGATCGATTGAAAGACTCGTTTACTAACAATAAACCCGATTTCAGAGAACTCGATCTGGGTTCACCCGTTTCGCCTTTACGAACCACTCGAACGAGTGGACCCGCTCCGAGTTCACTCACTACTACCACCACTACGACAACGACTACAACTAGCAGTTCTTCGAGCTCATCTGGGTCGTTTTCGGGTCGGAAGAATGATTCGAACCCGGTTTCAAAGGGTCACTCCGGCGAGCTCACCGGGTCAACCGAGTCTACCCCACGAACCCGGCCGGGTCATAAACGGTCCGACTCGTGCGGGTCAACCGGGTCCCACCCGTTAATTTACTCCGGTGGAGGTGGATCGACGGTGAATTCGCCGCCGTTAAATGTTTTGCCGACGGGTAATATCTGCCCGCCGGGCCGGGCCTTGAAGACGGGTATGGCAGCTGCCCGGCCCGTTTTGCGGCCCGATGTGTTAGGATTAGGAACGGGTAATTACGGTCATGGGAGTATAATGCGGTCAGGGAACGTTGCGCCGCGCTCAGGGGAAATGCTTGTCGGTGGTGGTGGAGGTGGGGATCCGGTGAAGCGGGCGATATCGAGTTCGGATCCGGAAGAGGTGAAGAGGTTGGGGAATGAGCAGTATAAGAGGGGTCATTTTACGGAGGCGTTGAGTTTGTATGATAGAGCAATTGAGCTTTCGCCGGGCAATGCCGCTTATCGGAGTAACCGGGCAGCGGCGTGGACGGGTTTGGGGCGTGTTGGAGAGGCGGTTAGAGATTGTGAGGATGCTGTAAAGTTGGATCCTGATTATGGAAGGGCTCACTTGAGATTAGGGTCTTTGCTTATTAGGTGAGTAAGTAATTGAATTGAATTGCATTGCATTGAATTATGTTGATTTTGTGGATTATAGAATGAGATGATTTGATTTTTTATTGGGTTTAATTCAATGATTTTCATGTACATTGTTGAGTTATATGATATAGTTGATTGTTGCATTCATATTAGATCTATATTTATGTGGTGGTGATTAAATTTGAGATGTTGGGTATGCTGATTACTTGAAATGTATAAAAATTAAAAGAAGAAAGAAATAAAGATTGGGGCTTTGTTGCTGTCTTGTGAATTATATCTTGTTTTGTTGTTGTTTTGGCTTATGTGGTCGCCAGTGTTGACAAAGTCATGTTCATGATTTCATTTTCAGCATAATAGGGAACTTTTTGGTTGGTTTTGTGATTGATTGAGTGTACAGATGGTGTTGCTTTGGGCCTTGCTTAGTTGCCATATGCTCAATTATGTCTTGATGATTTACCAACCATTGGTGATGGATTACAGCAGTTACGGATTTTGATTTGTTTAATCCAATTCTGTTTGTTCAAAGGATGTGGATTCGACTAATTGTCATGTCAATAGGGGGAAAGGAAGGGGTGGTTCTCATTGAGGTTGAGTTGTCATTGTCCATGTTTAATTCAAGCTGGCTTCATTCAACAAGTTTGATTGCCAATTGTGATTTTACATGCTTTAAAAACTTGGTTTGGTCGCTTGTCACCTGATGATTTGCTGCCTATCATGTTGCCACAAGTAGTTCCAGTGAGGCAGTGATGCTATTTTAGAAAGTTCTTGTCCCTGCACATGTTTTCTTATTGTTTATACACTAATATTTTTGAGGATATGTTACTTTAAGAAGCAGAAATCATTTCCGGATGATGGCAGTTGATAATTGATGTCATTGACTTGCTTCAGGGACCCTAAGTATTTGTTAATCATGGTAGTGGATTTTGAAATCAATTTCTATCATTTTCTTACTGTGATTTTTCTTTGAACATGGGAATTACTTTCTTCGACCATGTGTATTGAAGACACTAATTATTTATATATGAATTTGCATTTCTTTTGTAGTTATTTATTTTGTTTCTTGGCTGGTTTTAGGTTAGGACAGGTAGATGTTGCTAGGAAACACCTATTCTATGCAGGACATCAGCCTGAGGCAACAGAACTCCACAAATTACAAGCAGTGGAGAAGCATTTAAATAGATGTTTTGATGCTCGGAAATTTGGAGACTGGAAAAGTGCATTGCGGGAAGGAGATGCTGCAATTGCTGCTGGAGCTGACTATTCTCCTCAGGTGAAATACTTTTTATTTTTTATTTTTTTCTTAATTGTCAGTAGGTTGCTGGAATATGGTATACCTTCTATTATTGGAGAAGTGCATAAATTTCTATTTGTTACCCAAGCTAAGTGATTCAATGAATGTCCAGCTTTTCTCTTGTAGAGCAGAATCCCTTTTAAAGCTCCAGCAACTAGATGACATAGATAGCATTCTTTCACATATACCGAAAGTTGAACCATCTCCGAACTGCTGCTCACAGAGTAAGTTTTTTGGGATGCTTTCTGAGGCTTACCTCTTTTATGTCCGAGCCCAGATCGAGATGGCATTTGGAAGGTGAGTAGAGGAAGTCTTAATTATCAGGAGCAAGAAAAGTTTAGAAGCTTTGTAGGGAAAGTGAGAACAGATGATGGATATCTTGCAGGTTTGAGAATGCAGTTACCTGTGCTGAGAAAGCTGGGAAGATTGATCCTAGAAATATTGAAGTTGCAAAACTACTAAACAATGTGAGGCTAGTGGCAAGAGCTCGTGCACGTGGAAACGATCTCTTCAAATCAGAGAGGTTTACAGAAGCTTGCGCAGCTTATGGAGAAGGCTTGAAGCTTGACCCTTCCAACTCGGTTCTTTTTTGCAACCGAGCTGCCTGCTGGTTTAAACTTGGGATGTGGGAGAAGTCAATTGAAGATTGCAACTCTGCTCTTCGCATTCACCCTAATTACACCAAGGCACTTCTTCGAAGGGCTGCCTCAAATAGCAAGGTACAGCACTTCTAATTTTTTTTGTGCCCCTGTAGTATATTCTATTTTAAGGAGAAAAGATACAAAATTATGTGTTTGAGATTTTGATCCTTTTGGTGGTATGTTTGAACCCTTTGGTTGCTGTTGATTCACTTGATTGTAGCTTGAACAATGGGCTGAAGCTGTTAGAGATTATGAATTTTTGAGGAAAAAACTTCCACAAGACACTGAAGTTGCTGAAGCTTTATTCCACGCTCAAGTTGCATTGAAGAAATCACGTGGTGAAGAGGTTTTCAACATGAAGTTTGGTGGTGATGTAGAGGAAATTTTAACCTTTGAGCAATTCAGAGCTACGATATCTTCACCAGGTGTCCTATCTTTGTACTTTAAAAAAATTCATAATATATAATACAATTTTTTTTTTGTTCTAACATTCAACATTGGGGCTTGTAGGTGTTTCTGTCATTCATTTTGAAATCCCCTCAAATCCACAATGTAAGCGCATATCTTCTTTCTTGGATATGCTGTGTGGTCGATACCCTTCCATCAATTTTCTCAAGGTCAGTAATCTTTCACATTAGCCCTAGATTCTTGTCTCCAAATGATGATTTTCCTTTTATGCTTTTGCTTATTTTGAATACTTCATACCATTTTGTTGACAACTCTCTCATGCTCTATTCCTTCTTTTTACATAACTAAAGGTGAATGTCGAGGAGATCGCAGACGTTGCTACTGCAGAAAATGTCAGGATTGTACCAACGTTCAAGATTTACAAGAATGGTGGTCGGGTGAAGGAGATTGTAAACCCAACAAGTGACGTGTTGGAAGCGACGGTGAGACACTATAGTCTTTAACACACGACTACTGTTATCTATAGTTTACCCTGAGTTTTTCCGGAAATTATCTTCTTACTGCAACCTTGCCAATCCAACCTAATGCCTCTCAAACAGCAGTTATTGGCGGGATGCCTCCCAGTTACAAAAATCAAATCTTATTCCCATCAATGTGAGGATTATTGCTAGTTCACCTGTGCCATAAAAACCTGAGCAGCATAGCAATCCCATTTTAGGAGCCAATGGCAGAAGGAACCAGGGGAGATAGCTTAGAACCCCATCTTTCCCCCTTCCCTTTTGCACCTTATAAAATTTATTCATTCATTGTCCACCACCCTCTCTGGTTCCACCTTTGTCTACCCCATATCGCCTTTTAATTTTTTAAAATTTGCTTTTCATTTTCACTAAGCCAGCACCATTCTTGTAAAACCCCACCCTTGCCCCTTAAATCTCAGTTCGATAAAGAAGAGAAATCCAAGATGTGTGTATACTTCGGTTAGGTGCAGTCGAGAAGAAGCGAGAAGACAGAATAGACGTGGCTGGCTGGCTGGTAGGAAAGAGGGAATCTGTACATGTATATATGTTGATATATACAAAAAATACAATTCAAGGCCATAATGGAGATTGGATGTCTGGTGGGTAATCATGGGTTAGTGAATAGAAGGATGAATATGATCAATTGAATGTTTTTTTTTCTTTTTAAAATTATTTGTTGTTACTTTTGCTCAACCATTTCAATTATTTCATCAATAAAATCCCCCTCCCCCCAATTTTCCCCCCATGATTCTGTTTCTTGATCTTTGACTCGCACCTACAATGATAACATAACAGTACTCGTACTCCTGCTTAGAATTAATTTTCCATTAACAAATAGTGTGATTTGAACTAGTAACGTCACTAACCCAATACAAAATCCGTACATACATCGGGAATATTTTATTCCTCGAGGGAGTGCCTAATCTTGTTGGTTTGATGAGCCACTCATGCATAGTCTGTTCTAGTCTTTTTAATGGTATAATAATGTGAAGTATCTTAATTAAAAGGTGTTTTTCTTGTTTTATTATTATTTCTACGTATTTTTTTTTTATTTTTTTATAAAATTAATTGGGTTGATTTTGGTGGTTGATGACATTGAATACTAACTGTTGTCTACCAACGTACTGTCCCCATGGGGGGACTGTTATGTTAAGCTTTATATCGGTGTACACATTGGAATCGACTAGGATACATCCATCTATTTCATCTTCTATCACTGTTTAATTAAAAAAAGAGTTAATGATAGTAAAAAAAAGAAGTTGGACCACTTATTATTATATTTTGACTAGTCAATTATCGATTAGCTGGTGTTCGGTTGCTTAATAATACCCCTTTCGTCTGAAAATAGTTGTTTTAGCTTTTCTCGCCTTTATTATAAGAAAAAGTTGGCAAATGATGAGTCTTAACTATTAAAGCGTATATGATTAATCTCAATAATACACATTTTACAAAAAAATAATGTTCTCATTGGTGGTGGAATATAAGAACATGTTTGATACAAGCTTGTAATACTTTGCCTTTTGCTTGCTCTATATGTAATGTTAAAGTTATACTCCCTTTATTTCAAAATTACTGTCGTTTTTATAAGAAAAAAAGATAGGAAATAGTGTCGTATCGTACTGTATTTATGGTTAATTTTTTTTAAATATACCCTCATTTAAATGAAGTGATGCAGAGAGAAAGAGAACAGGACAAACTATATTTAGGTCATTATAGAGAAAGCTTTGTGAGAATTAATTCTTATAAAAGTAAAAAAAATTAATTTAAACGGTTAGAAGGTAGCGCAAATAGGGTAGTGGTTATGCATTTTTTGTACTCATTGTTTATAATTATTACTCATTCATGCCAATATATCTTATCAATAACCGTGAAGAATGACACATGCCTATTAGTGAATATTTATGACCATAAATTTTCATATCTAATATTCCATGGAATTTATTAACTTGAAACCAAATAGTGAGAAAGATGTCATTTTCCTCTATGAGAATAAAGTACGGATGATTTACCAAAATATGGCTCATTTGAAACTTATTTACCATTTTGCATCGATATTAAACTTAATTACGAAATTGTTGTCCACGTTGGCTCGGGTAGCTTTGTTAATTTTTTTTTCAGCTTGAAGCCGCTACTTAAAATAGCGGTTTTAGTATATAAATCGGTTTTAGTTCATAAACAAGTAGCGGTTTTAGTCTGAAGCTTATACTTGAAAATTTGTTCAACCTGTAGACATCTTTCGTCCCTCATTTGTTCAACCTGTAACTATTTCCTGCACTGTACACATTCATACAAGTTCTACATTTAAACTACCATATCAAAAACAAAAGCAATTGTTTATATTAATAACAGTACAGCTAAATTGGCATGTAGTTAAGCGAAATCAAAGTAAAACAAAAGCAACCAAAGCAAAATCCAACAATCTCGAATACGAAACCAAACAAGCACTGAAAATCCAAAGAAAATGGAATTTATATACTGATTTTGATATTATGTGGCAACAACTTAAGTAATTTAAACAACTATTTGAATTAAGAAGACAAAAAAAAAATTAGGGCTAAATACCTTATCAATTTGGGGGTAATTATCAAAGAAGCATTATGTTGATCAAGTGGTGGTGGCAACGCTAGATGGTCGGCCGCTGGTGTGCAGGAGGCATCGATGACGACCGGCAATATGATATGTGTGGTGGTTCTGGTGGAGATGGAGAGGGTTGTCGTGGTGTGTGTGGTTTTTTTTTTTTGTTTTTTTTAAGTTTTAATATATTCAATTGAGAGTGTGTTGGGTAGAGTGTTAAAGGAAAACCGCAACCTTGAATAGCGGTTTTGATACTATAACCGCTATTTGAAGTAGCGGTTTGTCTTTAAAAAATTAATTTTGCCTAAACGTATTTCCAAGCCTACGTGCACAACAATTTCATAATTAAGTTTAGTAGCTACGTAAAATAGTAAATAAGTTTCAAAAGAATCATAATTTGGTAAATTGTCCATGAAGTACTTGGTAGGAGTCAATGTGCACAATTTAATAATTTCAATTGACCGACTAAATTAAATAAATCAATGGTGGACTTCTATGCCTTCTAAATTAAATTAAATAAAATTTCGCCGTGGTCATAGACTTTACCACCTAAAGTAGCTAACGATCATGATTTGAACCCACAGAGTAGAGATTGAGTTGAGTAGCTTATAAAGAAGCTCAAGTTCTCATGCATTGTTTTAGATCATTCCAAGGGAGCATGTGCAAAATGTTAATGTATAACCGAGTGATAATTAGTGCCTTTTTATTGTTAAATATATTAAATTTAGCAATGGGACAATGAGAAGTGATGTCATGTGAAGTAGATCGCAATTTCAATATACTGTGTCAGTTTATAATGGGATTGGGACCCACTAAATGAACCGACCATTATGATTGATAATGTTGATTAATCCCAAACAAACTAAACCCAATTTTTTATTTCTATTTCTATTTCTATATTGGAGAAGGATCATTCTTTGGGACTAACATTTGTGTCATTAGCTTTCTCCTTCATCCACGGGTTCTTTTTTAAGAGGGCTATTTTAGATATGTCCTCTTTCTTTCTTTTTTCTTTTTTCTACTTATTATAATATTATTAAATTAAAGTTCAAAGATTAATATATTCAATTTAGAATAATTCTGATGATAAAACACCTAAAACCATATTCCTAGGGATGACCATGGGTCCAATATCTAAACCGAATTTGATCAAATATGATATATTTATAAATTTGGGTTTATGTTGAGATAAATGTTGTTCTTTATCAACAAGTCAAATACCCTATCTTGTTTTAGAGTATTAAGGAGCTGACTTTTTTGTTATTACTTTTAAAAGATTGATAATCTCGTTAATGTAACAAAACAAATAGTAAAAAAGTTTTCCTCAAAAAAGTTAAACAAGTTAGACTGCCAAAGAAACGAGCAGATATATATATATATATGACAAAAGATGCAAATGCTATATATCCATTAATTGAAAGATAAAAGTCAAGTCTATAATTGTACAAGTTGAAGGAGAGGTTACCTCCATGTTCATACAATTGGAAGGAACGATTGATCATCATACATGCTAAAAACTAAACTATCGTTTAGCTAATAAGCCAAGGAAATCTAAGGAAGTTAAGAAGAAAGCTTACAGAAAATGAAATGTTTTTGTTAATTGATTTGCTGATGTAGTTCTCTTGTTACTCCACTTCTTTTTATAAGCAAACTTGGAGCGATTTTACCCACTAACACTCTTAATTGCTAAGCGATTATTACTCTTGACGCCAGTTTTCCTTTTCAAATTAAAATGCCTTATTTGCTTCATAATCGGTTCTATTCCCCTTTTTGGGCCTTTTAACCGGGTCTAATTTATTCAACTTTGTTTCCATCGTTAGACTAAAGCCCTTAGAAGAATTGTAAGGTTCATTTTCCATAGTCAATAGGTCAATGTCAAAGAAAGTCAAGATTTTTAATTTTGGGTGTAACTGCACAAAAAAGGTAAAACCCATTGAGTATGGATCGAATTTGGGTCTATGTGCTAAGGGTCATATTTTGATTTGAGTCCAACAATTTTAGATCCAACTCATTGACCTAAATATGCTATATTAAATTTGTATTTATATACACTTCCTCCGTTCTTTTTTATTTGACCCGCTTTGACTTTTATACTATTCATCGGCCCATTTTTTACCGTCTTTTGTGAATTATATGTAAGGAAAAACATGTTCATATGGGATATTGTTAGAATCGTCTAAATAAGTACTATCACAATATATAACTTTTTATAATTTTACTTATAGAGAATTAAAGTTATTAATGGTTTTGCATCGACAAATGTGATAAATAAAAGAAACAAGTCAAATAAAAAAGAACAGAGGAAGTACTTCTTATCTGCTAGTAGAATAATTTTAGGGTGTAAAAGACTACTTTTTTTTAGTCATTTACTCCGTGTAAAAAAGACCCATGTTTTATGAGATAGATCAAAATAGTTTATTAACTAAAAAGGAAAGTGATGCATTTAATTTTAAACTTCCTTATTTAGAAAGTGATGCATCTAAATCAAACAAAGGAAGTATTTTATGATGTATAAGTTTAGAATGTATTCTATTCACCTATTTTTAGAAGACATGTCAATTTGGGTCAACGAATCGGGTTTGAGTTAGATTTAGGATTGTGCTAAAAAAAGCTATCTTTAATAATCTGAAAACTTAATATCACTAAAAAAAAAATATGACAATTGGGTCCAATCAGGTTGAGTTCTGGTTTTAGTTTAGTAACTTCGATCAAATTAGAGTCAGATTAGCGATTGATAATTTAATTTACCTGAACTTATTAGATATTATTGAAAATTATTTTAATTGTAATTTAAATAAGCTTGAAAAATACTTATCAAAACTTATTTTTTCTTAACTTATTTAATATGAATTTAACTGAACTTATCAAAACTTGCTATACTTGAATTAAGTGAAAATAGAGTGAACTGAACAAACCCTTAGAGGTGCCCTATCTTCAACTTATTTTTATTTTTGATTTCATCTAAACTTGTTCATTTATCTTGTCAACCAATTGGATTTAAACTGATTAATTTTTTGAAATAACTATTTCATTTACAATAAAATCACAATAAGCTGAGATTAATACACAAGAAGAAGGTTGAGGAGAATACATAATTATTATATATTCACACAAAATAGACACTTTCCCTCAAATACACTAATTTCTAAACAAAATACTTTTTTTTTTTCC